ACCTGCCTGCCTTCTCTGGGCAAAAAGTGTTCCCTACACACACACAAGGAGCTCTCTTGTCACATAGGCAGATTTGTCAAGGCAAGAGAATGTAGACCTGAGCAGAAAATACATTAGAAACTGCTGGCCATAAGGAGTTTCAGTGTTTAAGTGCTCCAGTCAAACCATTTTCTTTTCTTTTCTATCACTATTTAAGGGATCCAGTTAATAATAATCTGGAACGTTATGTACTCTAAAATCATTTCAGCCCAAATAGAAGTCCAAGCACTAAAACACTGAAATTGTCCAACTGACACAATCGAGTGACTGAGTACTGATATTTTACTATATTACCTACTTTTTTTTTTTAACTGCAACGCAGTTTGCTGTTTGCTGTGAAAGCCTGTCTCATAAATTGGCAGGTATTATATTTCCAGACAGGGAAATACCTAAGAATTAGGAATGCTGGAATAGAAAAGACTTATAGGACTTCCAGTTCCCTCTTGTTCAAAAATTGGATGTATTTCTTGGGTTGGGCTTAGAGAAGACTACTTTCACTGTGCCACTCATTACTATCTAGTTGTGTTGGCTTTCTCTCTATGGAAGGAGGAGCTTCATAGCAGTCTGCACAAGCCTTCCCATCCATTTCTCTTTTCTTTCCCTCCTGGACTTTGAGGCAGCTGGGCCACACCTGCACTCTAGCTGCAAAAGGAAAAACCTTTGGGACCTGGCAGTGGGTGTGTCAGGAGGTTTGCGTGGGAGAGACAGAAAGGAGGCTTGCAGGGGAGCTGAGTAAATCAAAAGATTCCCAGGACAAAGTCAACGTTGTGAGCCTTTGGGACTGGAGCCAGCATGCAGAGGTGCCTGGAGGTGCAAAGAAGCAGAAACTGTTTCAGGGTGAGCAGCTGAGAGCTGGGGCAGCCCAGAGAGGCAGGAACACCTGTGGAGCCCGCAGCTAGGCCAACGTCTAGAGCAGTACCTGTAGTCTGCTAGCACTGGTAGCCAGGTTTCCCCTCCCATTCTGGAATGGAGACGCCAAAGTCTCAGCAGTGTCTCTGGCCAGAGATGATGATACTTGGCTGAAAAGCCTAGAAAATGCAAGCCAACCAAGGCAGCCAAATCTTGGGTTGATAAAGGTGGCTAGGACTCAACTGAGGAGAGAAGAATCTTCTGTCTCCACATTCCAAGTCTGGAAGAGCACCTGGAGCAGGGCTAGCTAAGACCTGGACATTAACACGGATCTGGGCAATTCAAGCCCACCTGTAAAAGGGGGAAGAGAAGGAAAAGTAGTTCATAGGTACCCAGAAACTATAGATCCATGCATAGTAAGAAAACTATACAATAAGATACATAGTAAATAAGATTTGGAAAGTAAGTGGAAATCCTCAATTTTGTTTGAAAATAAGTATGTATTTTTATATAATAAGGCTTCCCCTGCAACACACACAGACAAAACTTCACTTCTTTCCTGAAAAGCACTATCATAATGCTTTTGAGGTTTGGGAGAGAGCCTGGTACTGGAGAGGAAGGAATAAACATGTTTGTGTGTCAGAACAAACAACCATGTTTCCATTCCTAATCCGATGCTGGTGGGTATGCGGTCTGGGGGAAGAGATTGTTCCGAGCAGCAGCTGAGCCTCCTTATTGCTATATACATTTGCTCATAGCAGAGAAAATTATGCATTTAAGTAATCAAAGCTTATGTTTTGCATTCCTTTTTTTCCACTAATGAAATCTCAATCTCTCTCTCTCTCTCTCTGGCATTTTGATAGATTGCACAGATTGCTAGATATATTTGCGCAGCCAACACAGCATGTCCTTCCTTGCTTCTTCAATGTAAGGTTTATCTTGAGGATTAATGTCTTCTCTCTTGCGGTGTACAAAGCCATGAGTCTGCCCAGGATATATTTTCACTTCAAAATCAACTTTGCATTCCACTTCCAGCTTCTTAGTTAGCTCAGTAACCTATAACAGAAAACACCCTTTTATTATTGCTGTGGGACTATTTTCATCTCTTGTGGTATCCAGAGCCCCCTTATCTTCTCTCATCTCGTTGGGAGTTGAGACACTTATGTCCTCAGCCTATATATTTCCTTTGATAACCCTTTCTGTATAAGAATTAAATATATAACTTTATTGCAATTCAGTACGGAGAATCCTGGGCCTCATAAATTCTATAGCACCCTTTTTGGATGAACTATAAGCATTTGATAATTACCATGGGTTTACATGACCACACAAAGAGGCTGTAGCTAAAGAGCTGAGACTGTAGCCAGAGTCCCAGGAACCTGGCCAGGGATCCTGGTCAAATATGTCAGTGCAGTTGCACAATCACTTTCTGATATGCCCAGCTAAGCTCAACCAACTCAGTTTGGTCCTGTACTAATTTTTAGTGTTCTCTAGTTTAATAATATGAAAACTCCTGTTATGATTCACAATGCCATTTTAAGACTGGCAGTAGGATTGCCAGAATGGCTTACTTAGTCTTCTCACATTAAACCCAAACACGATTATTGTTTCTGAATTCACAAAGCAACATTTCCCTCTCGTGAAGCAGATTCTCAAGGGTTAGTCTCTGAGTTCCAAGACAGTCTAAATCTTCTACAGAACAATGTCTAATTCCAGATCCCTTGGTGAGGAGTAACTCTTTTAAAAAGACAAAATTGCTGGAACATAGACAATAACGGTTTTGTGTCCTTCAAGTATCTGAAAGAATCCTCAACTACACCCACCCAGAATAGCCAAGACTCCATAAAGGGAAGAATTGTAAACCAATTCCCACTGATACAATCCAATCCATTGTCATACTACTTTTACATTATGTGGATGTGGTTCTAAAACTCAGCATCCAGAAACAATATCTTACTTGGTCAAGAGGAATGAACTCATCCTTCTCTGCAACAATGAAAAATGTGGGATTATTCAGGTTGAAATTATTCTCCATTAATCTGATAACTCCTAAAATGTATTTGACAAAAAGTTATATTAAAACCAAAATATTAGTACTGAGTGGCATCACAAAACCCCCTTTTCATTACTAAAGTGATGGCTGAATCATCCTATAAGACCCCAAAATCTTAGTGTGGAAATGGCTATATTCCCTAAAGGATGAGATTCTTTTTCAGCCAAACATATCCCGACCTACTTGCATCACCTTTTTTCTATTATCTATAATTCCCTTGAAAATTATAATCTGCACA